TCAAAAAAAAAAAAATCACACACACACACGCAAATAATGGGAGAAACAAAACAAAACAACAGACGATAGACAGACGGTGCTTTACAGTTACAGTTGCTGTTACAATTGCTGCAGCAACACGGAGTGCGAACAGCGGACGTTGGGCAGCTGAGTCTTTTTGCACTTGTAGATACTTTTCTCGCTAGACCCTCTGGCGATCAAAAGTTGCGGCACTTATTGGATTTGTTTTGTGTGAGACATATGCATGCATGCATGCATGTATGTATGTATGCATATATGTGTGTATGCATCCATATGTGTGTATGTCTAAACAACACATTGTGGCACTTGCAGCAGCCGTGTGACAGCATTTAGCTTTAGCACACACACACACACATATACATATATATACATACATATATATATATAAATATATATATATATGTATATATATATGTGGATACACACACACACACACAGAGAGAGACACACAGACGCGAAACCCACACGCACACAAATGTGTTTTATACGTTTTGCTTACAATTTTCTTTGGCTGGCTAAATAAACGGTTCTCACTTTTTGCTGTCACAAAAAATATTAAAAAAAAATAAAATGACGCCAATTCTTTTTCTTGTTTATTTCGTATAGATTATTTCTCTTCGATTTTTTGGCAATGAATTGCTTGTTTCATTTGGTGTATATTTATATTATCATTCGTTTATAAGTAATATTTAACGGTTAACTTTGTTTGCTGCGCGTCGTCGTGGAGAGCTGAACTACTTCTATTTGTCGGTCTCTGCCGCCGCTGTGGTCGTTGCTGCTGCTGCACTGCTGCTGGCGACTACGAAGACGGCAGCAGCAGCGCTAAACGGTAAAACGGCAAATACACGACGCCAAAAACCTCCAACGCTGCGTTCTTGACGCAGGCGCGCTCTCCCACCACCACCACCACCTTCGTTCTCAGCAACAGCACAAACGAAAGTGACAAGAGCGACAGAGAGAAAGCGAGAGAGAGAGAGCGAGAGAGAGAACGAAAGGAGGAGAGAGTAAAAAAGGAATAGAGAGCGCGCGCACAAAGTGAGAGCAAAGCAACCCACTGGCCTGCTTTGCTTTGCCTTTTCGCTGTTTCGCTCACCACCCTTTCCCAAAAATAATCCGATAACTGACTGCTAGGGTTGCTTTTGGCAGAGCGTTGCGTCTGCTGCCACCTGAGGGTTGATTTCAGTTTTTGCATTGCTCGCTTGCATGGTTGCATTTTTACAGCTGTCCGTTTTGGGTTGTTGTGGGCGGTTATCGCCAGGGCTGCTGACGACGTGATTGCGAATTTTAAGGGTTGCCAAAATCCACAATAAACATACATATGTAGTTATGCATGATCTTGATGTGACCAGTATTGTCACAACGTTGACATACATGTGTGTATGCACACATATAATTGTGTCACTGATTTATGCAAACTATAAACAGTTACTTAGCCTTGGCACAAACCCTAACGCCCACATGATTGTTGTCTTCACTGCTGAACGGTTTCAATGCGGAAACGACAACAACAACAGCAACAACAACAGCAACAACAACAAAAACGACAACATCAATATGTTTTCGAAACTCAATTAAACTGTATGAAATACGTGCATATATCACGTATGGATGTATTTGTAAAAAATAGTACAGCGAAATGAGGTAAATAATAGCGCATAACTTTGTATCGTTGACTTTGAATTTGCATTTTTAGTTTACAAACAGCTTATACACACTTACATACACATATGTGTTCTATTATATATATATATATATATATATATACCTATATATATATAGATAACGTTTTGCGTCAATGTCAGACAGAAACAACAGCAAAAAACAAAAAAAAAGCAAAGCGCACGTTGTAAAAATAACACGAAATATCAACGCAATGTATACTTTTCTTTAAGCCAACAGAGCAATGAATGAACACTTTGCTCTCAATATGCGCACATGTGTATGTGTGTGTGTGTGTGTGTGAGCACTAAAAATAACAATATCAATCCTATACAGTTTTGATTATGATTGTGTTGAGTGTGTCTGCCACCTACATATAAAACTTGTTGTTCCTTGTAGTCTCGTGTAGAAGATATTGAAGTTTAACAAGAAAAACAAAAACAAAAAAACACAATAACAAAAACTTTAGCTTCCGAACTACGCACGTTTGCCTCCAATTGTCGTTAAAGCGACAAATGGGGGAGGGCGAATGACAGGGCGTAACGGAAACGGTTAACGAGCCGGCAAGACACAATGCACAACGCACAACGCACAACGCAAGACGCACAACGCAAGAGGCACGTTCTTTTTATTTTATTATGATTTGGCTTTCTTTGACTTTTGTGCTGCTTGTGAATCAATCTATTACGTTCGACTAGAACTCGTCAACTGAATTAGTTAATCAAGCGAAAGATAGCCCCAAGCGTCGGCGCGCGCGCTTGCCACGAGCGCAGCGCGAGAGAAGACGAAGCGACGAGCGCGAGTGCGAGCAAGTGAGCAGCTGCCAGCTGAGACTGATGAGAGGCGCACTACAAACAACACCAAAAAAAACGAGAGTGAAAATGTGTCAGTATGACTATGCCTGTTGTATGCGCATGTGTGCGTGTGTGTGTGTGTGTGTGTGTGTGTGTGTGTCTGCTTACTATGTGCACTGTTTATAGCCAGCTGTTCGAATATGCCACGCAGTTAACTTTACGATCGCTTTCCAATATGCATGCATGTAATCTGTACCTGTGCATAAATATTTATATTTAATTGAATGTACATGAGTTTTTACTTAGCATTGGCCGACCACACAATCACTCATCACACAGCACTCAGCACTCGCTCGCACATGCTGCGTATTCGTAATGTAAGATACAAAATGTTGCTCATACGCCTCTGTGACTTCCGATTATATTTATGTATGGCCGGCCGTGCGAGTGAGTGTTAAAACTTCACTGCACAGTGGGAGTTCATAGGAATTTCAGTTTACTATTCACAACTGATTTAAATATTAAATATTAAATTTTAGAGGAAATTCCATGATTGTCATAACTAGTTTAAACTAGTTGAGTATTATACAAAATATTACCTGTTGATTGCGAAAGAAATGAGCTATATACACATTCGTATTTTGAACTTGTTTCGTATCGTTAAACATATAAATATGTCCGTATGAATATTCTACGTGTTCGTGTTCGAACTTTCCATTGATCTTTTAAAACTTTTGCGTAACTGTGCAGGCGCTCGACGAAAAATAAGTAATTCAGCTATAAACATTCCAAATTGTTTTCACTCTCTCTCTCTCTCTGTCTGTTTCTATCTCTCTTGCTCACGCTGTTCAACTGCGCACAAGAGAGCAAGAGCTGCTCTCTCTCTCTCTCTCTCTTTGGGTAGGCTCTCTCAGCTCAGCTGCTTTGCTGCCACTGCGACTGCCGATTTCGGCTGCTTGTTTTGCCCACGCAATTTTTTTTTGCGTTTTGATTTTAAAGCAGTTGTTGTCAAACGCATGCATATAAAATGTTTATATAAATTCTTCCATAATTATATATGTGCTATATACATATATATGTACATGCTCTTGGCTTCTCGGTAAACACCACTAGCGGCCGGTGTTTGTTTTAACCTTTATATTTGTATGTTAACATTTCCAGGTATGTGCAAAGTGCGTTACTACATATGCATAAATGTGATGTATGCCATGAACTATACTATATATACATACATATATATACATATATATATATATATATGTATATATATATATATATATACAAGCAGCCAAAAATAATTACGTCTTACTACTGGCTGGTCACATCATTTAATGTAGGCGTATAAAAGGCACCGAATTGACCGTCGCATCACTGCCTAGGTGTGTAGGCGTGTGTGTGTTCGTGTGTGTGGGCGAGTGTGTGGGCGTCATAAATACGTATGTGCATACATTAGTGTGGATGTAAAGTTCGCTAGTTGGCATTGTGATTACGTTGATTATTAAGCTCGACTACTTCCGTTAAGTTCGCCGCTCGAAAGGATTTCCGAGTCGCTTTAGCATATGGGTTCACCCAAATCAACTGCTCAACACAAACAGAACGAAATAACGAGAGAGAGAGAGAGAGAGAGAGAAAGAGGGAAGCAGCGTCATATTTAGTGACTGCTTGCTGTTAACTGCTGACGTCGCAGCGCAGCATTCAACATAAATCAGGCATCGATGTAAATGCTAAGTGGATTTCGAATAAGCCCCGCCTACTACTCTTCGCTCTTCGCTCTTCACTCTTTACTCTTCAAATTCGTTTCGAAAAATAGACGCGGTCTACACGCAGCAAACAGAAGCGATAACTATGAACTGCAAAAGCGCAGTTATCTTTTGATTGGCAACGATTTAATGCGCTTGTACACACCAACACGCACACACACACACTGTTTGTATGTTTGTGAATTATATCAATCAGATATCAATCATTTTTACTATACAATTAATATGCGATAAGGTATTCCGGTGTTCAATTATAAGTTTAAATGATGACGGATGTTTTTTTTTTAGATTCATAAAAACAATGTTTTTCCCCAGATATAATTAGCTTGCTACCTATATAAATATGTATATACATGTATATATAGGTATATGATAGTCCAAGTTTCATTGAGTAGTAGTATGTGGTTTTGGCGGTGCTATAGTAGGGGCATCCCCATGAGGGGGTAATGCAAAACTAACGAAATTAAACCAAATTTTCAGTTTGAAGTCACTAAATTCTCCAACGTTAAATTAAATGCACAATAGATGCATATGCGATAAGAAGCAATTACAGACACAGACACACACACATGCACATATAGCACGGGTATTCCAATTTGTTGGGACACGCTTTGTGAATTTCTGGATCATCCCGCACCCCTCCCGCACAATCACTACCAAGTTTGGGCAGATTTGCGATTATATGTTGTATACGTGAATGTAATTTTAAAGTGTTGCCCAAAAGTATGCAACGAGTTCAAATTCAAATTTCAATTCAAAAACTCACCTTGAGCAACGTGAGAATCTTTTGCGATAGATCATAATCAAAATTGGAATATTTGGAGCCACTCATGTCGTAGATGAAGACAAGTCCGGCACGCTGTGTCTCAGTGTCCTGGAGCGCACAATCCAGCTGATAGACGATACCCTGTAATGTTGTAGTATGCGAAGCACTCAACGGACTATGTCGGTTGGCCGTGAAGAGCGCAATCGCAGCTCCCGAGGAAGTGCGCGCCGGCTGCAATTTAAATAGCAAAATAAACAAACAAGCGACTGAATTGAGCTGAGTGGTCTTCATTATAAAATGGAACAAAATACACCCTAGAGCAGGCCTTACCAAAATACATTCACACAAAATCACACATTTTGCATGTGTTAGTGGTTGAACGCTGGCTGTCAAAGAAAGAATGGCTAGATAACATACCCACCTTATATGATATATCCGATGTTGATCATTTAAATTGCTCAAATGCAAGAAGATTCCTTGTTATTAGCTGGTATTACACTGGTAGCAAAGTATATCGAGCCACTGCAACATTCTCACTTATTTTTTCAAATCTTTTATTGTACCAATACGTAGGAACCTAATTTCGATTCGACTTGAAAGCCTGATTGAAAGCTTTTAATGCTCACAGTGGTTTGCGCAACGCAAGAGGTTAGGAAGTCAAATATGAATTCGAAAATTGAAATAAATAATGAGCTTTTTGGGTATTGAAAGCTCTTGTGTATTATATGCGTGAAAGCATAAGAGCGTAAAAGCTTTAAAACATATGTGCAGATTTTGGTAAGGCCTGCAAATTTGCTTGCTTGTAGTGTTTTAGAAGTGGTTTTCGTGTAGACTAACGGTACATACCAATATTGTGAATTTGCCTGTTTGCAGCTCGGAGCACAATGGCTCCACATCCGCATCAATATTGTAGAGGTATTCCCTCTGGCGTATCTGCTCATGCTGCTCGTACAAGGATACGGCACGGGGTATATCAAACTTGCGGGCGTACAGAAACTTGACAGCCGTCGTATGCGAGATGTGGCGCCTAATGGGCAATGATGCGGATGTTGCGGATGCAGTTGCAGTTGCTGTTGCTGTTGCTGATGATGTTGTTGCTGCATATGTTTCAGGGGCGACTGTTATTGTTGTTGCTGCACCTGCTGTTTGTTGCTGTTGCTGTTGTTGTTGTGGTTGTTGTGGTTGTTGTTGGTGTTGTTGGTGTGTGGTGTTCGCGTTGCTGAAATTGAATGTGTTGGCATTCGGGGAGGCGGCGGCTGCTGTTGCGCCTAAATTATTGCAGAGATCAATGAATTGTTTGACAGCCTGCAAAGAACCAATGATAATGAAAATTTTGTTAGTTCTTCAACAATCACTTTTGTCTTGCAACGTATGTAATAAATAGTATTGGTGTTAATTGTTATCAATACAAAAATCGACCTGAATATTTCTTGTATTTCTGGGTCTTAGAACTAATTTCAAAATATTCTGGAAACTATATTTTAAATTAGAAAAGCCTGTTCCTAAATCTAAAAAATTATGTACTCTGGTTTGAAGCAAATAACAATCCAAGTTTTTAGAAATCATACATTCTGTATAATAAGATAAGTTACCCTTGGCCCCAAAAGTATGCCGATTTTCTATTATTCTGGGCGATTTTTTTCTAAGTATATACAAATTGCACAATACTAATAAAAGAAAGAAACGGGTTTCATTCGATTTAATCGAAGAAATGAAATAAATAGAAGTATATGAAAATAATAAATAATCCAAATCAGATATAAATAATTATCCAAACACACATGCAAAACCCTTTTAGAAGCTCTTATCAATAATATGTAGAAGCTTATAAATTCTCGATTCTCAAAAGATATATCTTTTATTGCTATCGCTAATCGATTTTTACCGGCACTGGCGAAACAGCGGAAGTTATCGATTGTGCGCAATAATCTCGAATCTTTGAAGTCTTTAGCTCTTCCCTCCTTCCTCTTAATACATTTATTTTATTCTGTTTACTTTTTGGGATATCTCATCTGTCAAATCAAACAAATTGCAAATGGAAACATTAAGTTATCCATCAAGTTCGATTTATTGCCGGGGATGACGCCAACTAAAATGTAAGTAAGCATTTGAGGCGTGATTAATATGCCCATCCAATTACATATGTATTCGTAATGGGTCATTATATACACAATGAACTGCATACTTATTATTATTAATATAAACAACTTGCTGTGAAATGACGTCATTAAGTGCAATTAAAAATGGAAATAATTGGCAGACGAATGACTCGTTTATTGCCCATAATAGATTCATAGATTACAATAGACAATCGGCAATAGGCAGTTGCATTAACCTTGTGCCTATCAAATCTGGGCAAGCAGGTCAATAGAACTGATCCCGGTCAGATGGCCGGCCAATCGTCAATCAACGCACCAGAAAACGCACATTGAGTCTTTAACCTATTTACATTCAAGCATGCAAAAATAAATAGTATATAACAAAAAACTTTGAAAAGAATAAGTGTGAACGAGCCAGTCGGGATATACCCTGAAAATAGGCAGAATGAAGCATCTGCATGCGCATGGGGTATATACACATATGTACATATATTAGAGATCAGCAGTGATGTCAGTCTGTTCTCAGAGACTGTATGAGCTGGATACCTGGATACCTGGATTGAGCACAGACACATACACATACAAATAATATAACTACATGCGACTTTTCTAGTAGATGTTGAATGGATTTTCTTCCCTTTCTTAACTGCCTACGAGAGATAATATTTCGTTGGTAAGAAACATAAACTTTTATTACAATTAGATCAAATTATATAACTAAATTAATAAATAGTTTCTAAGAATTCAACCGAACCCCCAATCTATAATCAGCTCCAGTCGCTTTCTTTTTTTTTCTTATTCAATCCTTGTCATTGAAAAATATATTAGCTGACAGTTGATGAGAAGCCCATTAATTCTTATAAATCATTTGTTATACGAAGATAATATTGTATTTGCCAGTGAAAACTGCCGATTTCGGCTGAATTTCTTCACTCGATTCACTTAATCGCAACTCACACTCAATTGTATAGCTCGTTACTTATCATACGCGGTAGTTTCCCCCTCCCCCTCCCTTCCTTTCCCTATCGAGACAAGAGCGATAAGCTCTCGCAGTGCTGGGTATACAAGTATATGTATATATTATATACATACAAGTACATACATATTGTACAGCTGCATTCAAACTGAGTTTGTTTTGTGCAAACATAATCGAGTTTCCATCAATTTATGAAATATAAATTTCTATAAAGTTTCGTGTACTCAAAAAAATAATAAAAATAGAAAGAATTAAAAAGAAACTCAGTGTACTCTATCAAATTATGCCCTTGAACGACACTAGAAATTTAAGGACCGAAAAAGTAAGTAGTTTATCAAATCGAATTAATAAGACAATAAATATTATATTATATCTTATTTATAATATAAGTAAACCAAGCCACAGCTCACATCTGTGGCACTCATTCCTCTTACTCTTTTGGCTTTGCTCGTCAGTGAAATTCATTAGACTCATTTCGTCTTTTTCGAAAACCAAAATATCGTATTTTGCTTCAAGAGCTTTCAAATTCAGACAGGAAAATGTTTGATTAAGATTATTAGCCCAGCAATATTTTCTTCAAAATGAAAATGAAACGTAAGAAAACAATACAAATTTGATTCGAGTTTATTAATTTGAGAAATGCAACTCAAATCTATTTGGGTTTACGATTTTATACGCTTTGATTCCTTTTTATAAGCATCGTTCCTGAATCAAGAATATATTCTTTAATGAATTATGAATTTTATTAGAAGTAGAATTATTAGTTTTTAGAAATACTAATATTAAGCAATAATAATTCTTCAAAGCAACACACTGGAAATTAGATATATTTGCTCTACATTTTTAGAAATCTTCAGCCAGAAATTTGGAAATGCAACCCCCAGTTTTTAAAAAGCCACAACCATAAGTATATTTAGGTTAGGGATTCAAATGTGCTGGACTCTTGTCTTATTCGATTTGTCTTTGCACTCTGAAATACCCACACAGCAGACGGACATCCAAGCCAAGCACACAAGCGATTTCTGCGAATTGTGTCGAGAGTCGAATGTCGAGGGTCGAGAGTGTTGCAAATATAATGTGAAAAGAGAATACCCAGTAATATGAGTTCCGATGCGCTGAGCTAGCATTTGATTTTAATTGGGATTTTTTTGCTTCACCGCTTCCGTTGCCAGGCGTAAGTTTCTACGAATTGAATTTTCAGCTCGTTAATCTCTCGATCCATAACCCATAATTGTCGCCCACTTCCACTTCCACTTTTGCCACATTTGGTTTCGTATTCATGTGTTCCTAGTATCTCTCACTTCGATTCGGATTTATTCATGCGCTTTCCACCAGTTGACTAATTAGATATTTGGCATGCGATACGCGTCGTCATCAGAACAAAAATTCGTTTCGCTCGTTTCTTCGCCCATTGGCTTTTCTTCTTGCCTGAAGAGTTGAGCCGCGGGAATGGCGGTGGGGGAATTGATAAGGGCAATTTTATGTGTGACCTAATCGCTAATGACACCCACCTGTTCCCGGTTGCGTCGTCGCTGACAGAGATGCACCATTTTCTTTTGTTTTATGTTTGATATTTTTCTATAACTAGCACCTATACACACACGCACAACAACAAAAAAAGCAGAGAAATATACGCTAAAACAATAACTGCATATATCTGATATCTATAACAGTATAGTATGCAGTCGAGCTTTTGTTCTTTTTGGGCGACACTGAAATTCGCGACACGCCGCTTTCAAAGTTTCTTTCATTACTGAAACGGAAAAAACGTAGTCGATCTGCCAGCAAATTAAACAGCGAAGTACAACAAAAGCAATAACAATGAAAATAACAACAACAGTAACATTAACACAAAGGCAACTGCTGATAGCAAGCGCTGCCGCTGCAAACGCTGACGTCAAAGTCGACGTCGACTGCTGTGATGACTAGCTGCTGCTGTTACCGCTACCGCTGCTGCTGCTGCTGCTGCTGCTATTACTGTTGCTGTTGCCGAGCCGACGAGCCATGTTAACGAACTTTATTGAACCGAAATGCATTGGGGCAGCCGACGAGCGGCCGAACGAAAAATGAACGAAGGCGAAAACGAAAACGATCAAACAGTTGAAGAGCTGAAGGCACCGAATTCTAAGAAGCCAAATCGACGACGCATGCGCCGCCTCGACTTTGCTGCTCGCCGCCCTAGCATACCAACAATTTGAGTCATACCGTTTGGACCGTCTCTTCTCCATATGTCACCGCTGCAATCGCAGTCGCAGTCGTCGTCGCAGTCAACGCACAGGAGGTTAGAGAATTTGTACGGTCATCAAACAAAGTTAAAACTGCAGCTCTGCACTGAGCAAAACAAATTGTACCTTTCAAATACAGTAAGCATTATTATTAATTCAGTTTTGAACAACGTATATAAATAGTTTTATAGTTTCGCTCTCTGCTTAAATCTTATCATTATTTGTATATTTTCTGTTTCCGGTTTAAGAATAGCAATAATTAAATTTTAATCACTGAATATTAATAATTGATGTGTTCTTCAGACTCACAAGAGTGTATTTTTTTTCATTCAGTGTACGTGAGGAACTTACGTGTTCGAATTTCATACAGAACAGAACACAGACACGAACGAACATGTCGTCTTGAGAAAACAAGAATCTGTATGATGAAATGTCTTTCCACGTATTATGATAAACACTTTAAATAAAATTGCTGACTATAAAAGAATTACGTAAGTTTTCAAGAATGAAGAATGATGAATGAAAAAACCAACAACAAAAAAAACACCTTTTTCGAAATTGCAATACGAACATAAAGCCTCTTATGAAGACGTTTTAATGCACTACATTCAGAAGCTCTTAGCTCTCTCTCAATATGTGTGTTGTTTTTTTTTCGAGTGTAGCGAGAGGGAGAGAGAGAGAGAGGGAGAGAGAGAGAGAGGGAGAGAGAGAGAAGCCGCGATAATCTAGACAGGCCTCGATGGAGAGTGCGTCACCTTCTTCATTTTTTTTTTCTTTCTTTATGGTCGCCCATTGTTTCCACGAAATCATTATGCATATGTGTGTACTATCAACACAGCCTCAGTCTGCAGCATCATCCGTTTTGTGGGCAAGGCAGATAATAAAAGCCGATGACATGCAGACGAACACTAGAAAGTTCAACTTAAATGTCTCTGATAAAACCAACAAGAAAACAGGAAAGCCTGAAAGAACGGCTGTCTTAGGCATGCCAAAGATCTCTGGCAGCTATACGAGCTCGTATGTTATATTAGTTCGATATGAATGATTATTTAATTAAATTGAAAAGCGTCCTAAGTTTGTTTTCGATAATTTGTTAAATAAAAAAGTTTTCCATTGTTCCTATGGCACCTGAATTATATAGTGATTGGATCCGATCTGCAGCAAACGGACAAATACAAGGGCCAAGTTTAATCAAGTAAGTTTTCAAAGTGTGGGACTAGTTGACATAGAAATGGGCAGACAGACGACTATGGCTAATTCGACTTGTCTGGTGATGCTGATCAAGAATATATGTATATAGTTAATGAGGTCGGAGTCGTCTCCTTCAACAACATTATTATAATGCGCTCTTCAAGGGTATACAACGGCCAACTCAATCCTAGTAAGACTTAAAAGCAGTGATTTTCATATAATATTGGGATCCGACCGATGCAGATGATTCAACCAGCAGCAGCATATTATCTAAGGTCAGAAACATGTTCAGCGCTGGCCATCTGTGTAAATTCGAAACAGAATTCAATTTCATGTAAATTGTATTCATAACTGTATCTCAGATCAGGTCCATGACGCCATACATCTGATGTGTAAGTGCGTGTGTGTGTGTGTGTGTGTGTGTGTGTTGAGACCGGGTCAGCTTTAATGAACAACTCTAATTTAATCCAACAACTTCAAGTTGAAGCTGTTTTGTTGTTTTTGCTGCTGTTGTTGTTGTTGCTGCGATGGCTTTCACTCTTGTTTTTCTTGGCGCTTTTCGCTAAAAAGGGCTCATCGAAATGTGACTAATCCAATATTGTTACGCCCAAATCTGCAGCTGACCGACTCATATTTAAATTTATATTACTAATGTAACTAAAATAGATGTATGATTTGTTTGTATAAATCAAATAATTGCATAACCAATCATTTATTTATCACGATCTACTAATTTGGCAACTGTTCTTTGCCAATTGCGTTAGGTGTGCGGTTCTATTTATTTGCAATTATCGTTTTTTATCGCTGACTCTTTTTTTTTTTTGGCCGCTCAGAGTCGCAGAAGGGAATTCCTAGGAACTTGAAAGCTTTACATATCTAAATTGCGGTATAGATCAGCTACATGTGAAAGGGATATCATAAAGTGGTCTGCATGAGTATGCAGAACTCAGAGACAATATCGTTATCGATCATCGATAACTTACTTCTCAATAATAAGCAAACATCTTCAGCTATTTTGGCTAACAATTTTTTTAAGTGATATTTGAAATTATGAATTGGAATGAAAGTTGCGTTAGTTTTTTCCAAGTCATTTGCCTTCGGAAAAGGAAGTAGGGCGTTATATGAAATTTGTATGAATGGGACCATAAGGAATAAATATTTGTTTAATACAAAATATATGAGTTGCATACAAAAATTTGGAATGGGATACTGGAATGAACAAAAGACAAATATCAATTATGTCGATCGGCATCAGCAATTGATTTCGTGATAAGGATTTAAACCTTTTAGTGTGGCCTGGAAGGTCACCCATGCTGAATCCCATAGCATAGAGCAGCTACGAAGGCTGCTACGTGAAGGAATGCTCCAAAACCCCACTATCTGAGTTCTAAAAAGTTGTTAAATCGATGTGAAATCATTTTTGTTTTTTAGTTATAAACCATTCTGGAGGCTGAACACATTATTAGGTTGTTATTTTCATGTGATTTAATTTTATTAACACTGCCTTTAATTGAATTTCGCACCTTAACCTCACTTTTTCTTTAACATGTATTTAAACAGCTAACTTTTGAGTGCCTTTAATCGAATTTCGCAGAGTGTATATATTTATATACAAAAATATATACTTATATATGTATATATATATATATATATATATATATATTTATATTTAAATATATATATATATATATTTATATTTAAATATAAATATAGATGAACTTTAAAAGCCAACCTTTTAAACAATATATATTTGCGTGCAAGAAAACAAATTTGTTGATTAAAGATTGTTCCGCCAATTAAGTGAACAGCCTACATAGAGTATACACACATGTATGTGTGTGTGTGTGAGGAGAGCAGCATTTCCGGTTGCGAAGACGAGTAGCAGGTGGAACGTGCGCTGACTTAAATTATTGGCCATTAGCTCTTTACAGCGAGTTAATAGAGCAACAAGTGAAACGTTTTTTTGCTTCTTTCTTGTTTTTATTTCATTTTTTTCTTGCAACAGCAGCAGCAGCAACGGCTTTCAAAACACTCTTAACTGCGCATGCAAAGTAAAAACACCAACAACAACAGCAACGAGAAACATTCTAAAACTGTAAACCGCTTTAAAGCATGCATGAAAGAAATAGAAAGAAAAAAAAGCAGCAGAGTAGGAATGCTCTAGTTGAGAGACAAGCAGATACCCTGCATGAATATGAATTTGATAAATATGCACACATATTGCATAAGTCCAAGCTTCTCAAATGTAAAGCTGCGATTTTGATTGCTATCGGTTATCGATTTGTATCGTTAGCAGGGAAACGAGGCAAGCTATCGATCAAATGATATCTGCTTGGGGAATACGAGAGCTTACATTCCATTTACAAATTGAAAGTCTCCAGCTCTCTTACTTTATGGGATTGAAGATGCTTTCTTCCGTCTGTCACATGCTTTTGCTTATGATGATAATAAAATGATTGAGTTGATAGTTGTATAACAGTAATGATAAATTGCTTACTGATAACAGTTTCGTAGTCTGTAAGGGGGAAGCGGCTCTATCAGGGGCACAGTTGCATATACAAAATTGCGGATGTCACAAATACACAGAGCGAATACAATTATTGAGCAAGATCGGAGAAGAAACAACCATGTTATAGTCCAGCAGACGCAAGCATTTTCTGTATGCAGGGTATATCGTAGCGAGCTACAGCATTCTTGATAGTTTTTTTTGTCAGTGTACATGTGCTTGTGTGTGATCAACTGAATCGTGTGCACGCTGTGGACTAATCATCGATCGGGGATTGACAACCGTTCAGCTTTATGATCACACATTTCGTTTTAGAAATCAATGACTAATAAACATCGAGATCAATGAATATTATCGCAAACTTAACTCTAAACGTAATAACTGCAAATGCACAAGTGCCGAGCATTCAATTTAAATCGTGATCTTCAAGAAACGTTTGTGACAATTATCGTGAAGTAGCATTTATAATTGATATATATATATATATATATATATATATGTATATATATTTGCAGTTGGTTTAATTTGGATGTGATACATACTCAATGTTGTTTCTTTCTAATCGAAATCAACTTGTTCGGGTCTATGTGAAAAATCAATGGAAAATGTAACTTTCTGTTTAAATACGGATATTCACTTGTTACACGCTCACCCTGGTAATTGGGGATTGAGAACGATATTAGACACAAGTATTTGTAATATGCATATTGAGAATGGCTATGC